GTCCACCCACGCATCCTGATCCAACGTGTTGGACAAAAATCCCACCAGCCCATCCGTGGGAACAGGGCCGCTGCACATGCCCCTCTCTTTCGGGTTGAGGCTTCCAGTGGGAGTGCATTTATCCAGGGCCGTGTCCAGTTCCTTCCAGGCGCTCACCACTTTTTTTTATCTCCGGCAGCCTGTCAGTCAGGCTCGCAGCGACGAGGCTGTAGGAACTTTCAGCACCCTTCTTCTCGTACAGCAGAAGCAACTCCTCCTGTGCACCGTCGCTTTTGTACAGCAGGGAGCTGGTGGCGGCGTCGTGGGCCGCGTCGGACACCGGCCCGACGTCATGCACGCGGGCACCGTCGGTCAACCAAAGGTGCAGCTGGCCCTTTGCGGCGTCGCCCTCCTCTGAATACACCGGCGTGGTGAGGAGCACCACCTCCGTGTCCTCGATGCTTGCGGTGGTGAGGCCGCTCTGCACGCCGTGCCCTCCCTGGCGCCTCAGTGAGTTGCCCCACACGCGGCTAATCGGCGCGCCACCGAACCAAGCCGTACCGGCCGCGGAGGACTTGTACACGTCGTAGTAGCCGCCCGCACAGTGAGCCATCGCGAGCAGTTTGTCTTCGCCCCACCGCGCGATCGACGGGTCCTTGCAGCCCGCACCGGTCGTCTCCCGCGAAAGCGTCCATTTCTTCTTTGACGGCTCCATGCGCATGACCAGCAGAACACTCTTTCCACCCTTGTCCGTGGCCTGCATGGGGAACACAAGCGTGCCGTCCTCCAGCACAGCGCCCGAGCCCCCGCCGCCAGATAACTCAGTGAATGAGTCATGGAGCCCCATGGATGCGGCATCCACCGCACGGGTCTCACCCCAGACGATTTTCTTCTCCGCGTCATCGGCTCCAGCGACAGTTCCCTTCACCAGCAACAGCCCCCCGTGTTTTGCGGCGCCGCCTTTAGTTCCAGACTCTGCACGGCTGTATTTTCCCAGCAGCACGTAGACCTCGTTGCCACGCACAAGTGTTGCCGGCCGCATTATCTCCTCCGCCTCTGCGCCGTCCGTGCCGTCTTTCTTTAGCAGCCGCGCAGCGAACGAAGTTGCGTCCGCCGCCGAGAGCTCCGTTGCGGCAGCACCCGCAACGTTCTTGAGGTGCCTCGACGCAATCCCGACAAAACAGCCGGCCTCCTCGTCCTCTTGCCTCGCGCACTGGGCCTCGGCGACGGCAAAGACGTCCTTCCCCACTGCGACGAGGCTGGGCACGCGGAGGGAAGTGACCCGTTGAGCTGCGTCCCCGACGCCTTCCCATGCAGCACCGGGAACCTCCGCCGTCCCCTCAAACGGGTTGATGACAACCTCTTGATTAGCGGCTGCTGCGCCACTGCTGCCGCAGCACATCAACACGAGCAGCAGCACCGCAGGAGAAAACAGGTGCCGGGGCATGCTGGGCGGGGGGCCTCTCTCTCTCTCTCTCCCTCTTTGTGGTGGATCCGCTCAGGCGGCGACGGTTGAGTGTGTGTGTGTGTGTGTGTGTGTGTGTGTGTGTGTGTGTGTGTGTGTGTGTGTGTGTGTGTGT